CTTACGCTTATTCTTAGACTCTTAAGTTCTGCCCCCTCTTATGAGCCTTGCTTTGGGACCTTGAGTTCCCTCTGAACTTGGACATTTGAGGGCTGGCTCTTCCACACTGCACTTACTTAAGTCTGCAATATATTTGGGGTGTAAGCACTGCTCGGAGTCCACTTGAGGCTCTTAGGGAACTTTGACACATCCCAAATGAGAGAAAGGCTCCCATACATGCCTTATATGTTTTTATTGTCGCCCTAGAATTTTATCCTTTTAAAACCCTAAAAAGTCAAATCTCCCTTCCCTTTAGGACTAGTAGTCCCAAATGCCTCCGGGACTGATAGGATTGGGGCGTGTACTAGCATGCAATAAGTAACGATACTATTCCGCGCTTAATACCTTAATGGGGTGGGAAATGGTAGATATGGATATGATGACCGGTGCGCTAATACCACGTGTAACCCCTCTTCTAAGGAGTGATTACCGGGTATTGCATTGATGTGATTCTATTATTTGTAAACCTAGGACCCCCTTTCTTTTATTTGTTTATTTTATTCTCAAACTATTTCTTTAAAATTTCTGCTTTCTTTACTTTCGTCAAACTCTCAACTTGCTTGCAATATTATGTGAAAACCCCCTTCTATTTGAGACTTCTATTTGCATACTTGTTATTCAAAGTCGCAATTGTAGCATGGCCGGGAACCACACTAGTGGATCTTAGGGGGTACCTAACACCTTCTCCTTGAGATAATTTCTAGCCCTTACCCGAACTCTGGTTTTCCAACTCGAACTCTTCTTTAGTATCCTAATGAAATTTAATCATTAGGTGGCGACTCTTCAAAAAACCCAATTCCCAAGAGGGAACGAGTTGTCCTCCCAAATGTCATCAACCTGATTTCGCTTTTACAAAAAGGGGGCGCGACATGTATTACAGTCCGCGAACACAGAAATCTGGGTAAGAAATTCTGTTAACCCGGGGGAAGGTGTTAGGCATTTCCTAATTCCGTGGTTCTAGCACGGTCGCTCAACTATTATAATTGGCCTATTATCTGATTTTAATACTTGTTTTAACCTGTGGTTCAATTTTAACTTTATAACCACTTTAATTAATTATTAGGAAAATTCAACATTATTTAAAACACGTCTTGAACCACGTCACATGAAATGCACCCGCGGTCCACGACACATTTTATTTAACGTTGTTGAGATTTGGATTTGGGTCACATGAAATGCACACCGGAGTTTAGGAAAGTAAATTATTAAAATGACGCGCCTAAAGCAGCTATGTGTTTGCAACTTCGCGAGGGCCATGGAAATTTGCTAAACGGCATACCTCAATTTCTAAGGATTTTAAATAATATTAATTAAAATAGGGCCATGCAATTGTCATTTTTATTTGGCACGACGCACCTCAATTTATTTTAAAAGGTAGTTCAAACTGGGTTTAAGAGGGCCATGAACTATTGATGTTGTCCAATATGGCACACCTCCACTATGTGAAAGCCCAATTAGTTAAAAAAATTTGCAGAATTTCTAATTACTCAAATATTGCTTAAATGACTTGTTGAAAGCTAAGGAGGATGCTAATTATTCTAAAGAAATGTTGAGCCCAATTAACGAAGGCCCCCTTTTGTGATTGTCCATTGAATTGGGCCTGGGGCCAGTCCGAAATTTGAGCAAAATGGGACTCGAGGTCGAGTCTGGGTAACACCTAAATCCATCTTGGACGTCAAGGGCCCTTAGGCTACGGATGACAGTACAATCCTTAAGCAATTCACTTGGTCATGCGGTGAAACAGTGAGCCACAAGCTACTGGAAATTCTCAACATATAAATTGAAGCAACCATTTGATTGAGCATTTTCAGAAATTGCTGCATAATTATTTCACTCACATAGCAAGATGATTCCCTCAAATTCAACATACATGCATATTAACCAATAAACTAAGCATTAGCACAATCCCCACATTTAACATACATGACTTAATACATGTTCCTCCCTATCCCAGTTTCCTGTTTAAATCTCTGTCCTAATCGACATTCAAATCAACAATGAATTTCAGAACAAAACATTCATAACATCTTGACTTCTAATGCAACACAATCTCGAAAAAATATTCATGTGCTAACATGCTCTGTTTAGAATCTATCCAAAAGTCCAGCTAACAAATTGACAATTCAGAATGACACACTCTTGCAGAGCCAAAGACTAACTCATACAAACCAAAAAAAAAGAAGAAGCTAAACTATTGCTTTACTCCACTAGTACAGAACCAAACTCAAAGGCAAAACAAGGAGAAGCACCCAGGCCTATATCTAATACCACTTAGCAGAATATAATGTCAAAACCATAAGAGGACCACATTTGCTAACTAACAGGATTTAAACACTCAATTAGAACTCATTCCTCAATGAATACACCCATCAGAATCTCTCAAAACACGTATTACATGTGAATTATGAATTTAAAAGAAGAACAGACGGTTTAGATAACATGGCATCAAACTTCATTTTTTCAAATCCATACTTCAAATTATACATCAAGTGATGTCCATAGGGCTGAATAATTCCTGAAATTTGCAAAGAAGAAAAAGAGATGAGGAGCAATAGACAACAACAACAGAATCGAGTAAGAAGTAATCAACACCAATTTAAACCCAGAAAATGTTGTACAATTGTCTAGAAACCAGTTTCAATCAAACAAAGACCCAGCAAACTTCAAACCAAACTCAATCTCAAACTATATTAATTCCAGCTAACCAGAAATTGCTTCAGAATTAGAGAAACTTCAGAAATCACCAAAAGAATTCAATGGAACAGTTTTTTTAAAAAAAATTTCAACCGTTTTGTTTTTCTGACTTTTGTCTCTCTGATCTCTGCCTTGAAAGGCAAGACAATGTACCTTTATAGACAAGGAAATAGGGCAACTAATAGGGACTCAAATTTCCCTTTAAGCGCTTTTCATGTTTTCATTTTTGCCTAGATATCCCTATTTAGTTTTCAGATTTTAAAAATAATCTCAAAGTCAGCTTCCAAGAAGCTTCCATTTCAGTTGTACAAAGATTCCCTAGACTGGACTACCCAAATTACCCCTTACTGACCCTGTTTTTTACTGCTGAAACATATGGGTATGGGTCATGGGTCAATGACCCATATGTTCAGGTCCAAATGAATGAATCAAATGAACCTCAGGCCCCGACCAAAGGAGTTAAAAACCCAACCAAATTAATGATAAGCAGAATAAGGAAATATTTGAGTGATTTCAGAACATGGAACCTAAGCTACGAGTGATGATTTTTCCTAAGCTAAAAATACTAAATTGAATAACACTAAATTACCAGTTTATTAACAATCTAACCTAAGCTATTTTACCAGAAATAGTTATCATAAAATCAAGAGAAACAGAGGATATTGGTTAAGATATTTAAAAGAAAAACTGAGGAAATGAAAACGAAAATAAATACACAGCCACACACAAAAGCAAACTGCCTCAACAGGAGAACTAAACTCGAAGCTGATTTTAGTCGGGGCATGCTAGAGAAGAAAAGGAGAAGAAGAGGCGAGGCAGAAAGATGAACAAAAAGCCTAAGAAAGACAAGAAACTTACCGATTTAAACTTGAAATCACCGGGTAGTTCTGATTTAATCCCAAAATGGTATAAATCGCCTGTTCTTTGTTAAGAACACACGAATAAAACCATTCTAAGATGAACCAGACTTTGAACACTTGGAGGAACTGGGGGGATGACCTTGCATGGATGAACTTGACTTTGACCTCTAGAATTCGAACCCTAGATTTAAGATTCGAGAGGTTTTGGGGGTATTTGAAAGAAACTAAGTGGGTATTNTCAAAGCTAACAAAACGGCGTCGTTTGGTTTGTATGGGGGAACCGGACCGGGTGAAGGCGAGTTTGGGCTGACTTTGGACGATTTTTGGGTGTTCAGCAATTGGGCTTGGGGGTCTTGATTGGATTTAGCCACCAGACTTCCTTCTCTTATTTCAATTTGCTCTTTTAATTCGTTTCTCTTTTTTTAAATCCTTCTTCTTTTTTCTTTTCTTTTTTTCACAATTAAAAATAAAAACCTAAATTAAAATAAAAAATCAAATTGACCTATCAAAGTGAATTAATTAAATCCAAATAATAATTACCACAAATAATTAAGAAACTAATTAAAAGAAAAACTACCGAAGTTCAAAAATTAAAATTAAAAATACAAAAATAACTATTTTTGTGATTTTTCCAATTCTTATAAAATAACTTATTTACTACTTAATTCAAAAATGTAAAATTAAATCCTAAATGCAAATGCAACATATTTTTGTATTTTTTCATTAATTAAATAAAATAAACATGAACAGACAAATGCGAACAATTGACGGAAAAGGCCACAAACATCCACAAAAATGCAAACAATGGAAAAATTATTTTATCTTGAATTTGTGGGAATAATTCATATAGGGCAAAAATCACGTGCTCACATCACTCACAAAACTTCAAAAACAACACAAAATTATGTCCATGTCCAAATATAACTCTAATTTTCAAATACCATTTTCACTTGATTTTTTTTATTCACTTTTTTGGAATTTTATAATTTTTATGTCCGAACGCCCACAAAGTTCATACTTTTATCACCTTTACCAAACAATAATTGTTATTGTCGAAGCTATCTTTATCCAAAAGGTGATTAATCCATTTCAAAGAAAACTAGACCATACACTCTCTAAGTGAGAAAATAAAACATTAACGAACTAAAATAGCTCCATTACGAAATCAAAGTGCTACTGAATTGAAGGAAAAAAAGGAAGCATAGAATTGTGGACGAAAAAATAAATCGAAAGCTACAAAATTGTAAATGGAATGTAAGAATACAAAATTGTGCTCTATGATACATCCGATATTCAAAATCTAGTAATCCTTAATGTAGATTCACACCTCGTAGCGTCCACTAATATAGGAAAAGTGCTTCCTACATAAAAAATTTCATTTTCGAAACTCAAACTCGAGACCTTAGGTTAAATGTTGAGGTATGCATCACCCGCCCCACCACCAGTTTGTATCAAAATCGTATTGATATCTTCAGCAATATTCTTGGCATCGGACGAAATTCCAAATAATCCAGCGTTGGCAAATCCTGCACAATAAATATTTTTCTCCCCTTTCCAGTGACAAGGACTTCTCCTTTTTGGCATCCCATTTTCATTGAATAACACTCCATCATCCTACACAAAGCATTGCAGTTTTTTTTCATCTCAGAAATATTTATCTAAAATATAAAATATCACTTTTATCTCTCACCTGAAATCATAGAAATTTCAAAAAGATGCATAGCTCGAGCCAAATTTGAAGTGTATATAACATTTGCCTTAATTATATTTAATTATCAAATACCTTGAGCCACTTTGTAACTGTGCTTTTGTAACCTGTAGCAAAAACCATGGCATCAAACCGTTCCATCTTACTATCAGCAAATTCAACATAATTTCCTTTGATTTTCTTGATCGAAGGTAAAACCTAATGACAAAAATGATTAATCAGGAAACTTGCTAATAATAATAATAATAATAATGAAATTTTTTAATCCCTCTACCTTGATTTTTCCTGTTTTGATTTGATCCACAGTTCCAACATCAATAACAGGAGATCTACCAGTAGCTTTCTTAAGATAAAAGGGACCCTTATTTGGCCTATGTAGCCCAAAGACAGAAAGATCTCCATATATTAATCTGCTTAAAATCATCACAGTTTTATCCACTATATTACAAGGAATGTATTTCAGCAAACTCATTCCCATTTGGACTATTTCCTTCGTGAGTATGTGTACCTATAAACCAAAGAAAAAACATGAGATTTTCATTATACATACACACTTAATTCAATGAACTTTATTTTACAACAAAATTGAAAGATTTTTTTAAATTGATTTCCGTACAAACAAGTGCATGAACCTAAATGTAGCTTGGGATTCAAATTTTATGGGGCGAAAACTGATATCCCATTAAGAAAGCATTTGATAGTATTAATCATAAAAAAATATTTGGCTAGATTACCCTTATCTCTTCCGTAAATAAATAATTAAATATAATAACGTAAGTATATGTCTTCTTAGAGTATCAAGGGTGAAATTTAAAAAAATAAATAATAATAATAATAATAACTTCTAATTGTATTCTATGGCAGAGTGAATCCAAATTTAAACCTGATCGATCTTTATGGTTTTTAACATAGAATTCATTATACTTTAAATTTAAATCTACTATATGTTGTTGTTGTTGAATTAAAATCAATACTAGGTTCGGATAAACCTGTTGCCAAAGAGTTACATCCGTTGCGACTATTCTAAAGTGACGAATAATTTGTACTAAATTCTTTTGATTACAATGACAGATAAAAAGACCGAAAAGAAGAGAACTTACAGGGCTACGAACAATAATGGAGGTCTGAGCACCCCAATTAGATAAATCATAGGCAATTTCCATACCAGAATTTCCACAACCAACAACTAGAACATCTTTACCTTCAAAATTCTTGCACTTTCCATACTCACTAGAATGCATGATTGTCCCACCAAAGCCATCTAATCCTTCAATTTTTGGAATAAAACCTTCACCATTTTCTCCAGTAGCAACAACAAGAAACCTAGCAACATAATTCTCAATAATATTTTTTTCGACGTTCATCGCCTTAACATGCCATTTGTTATCAACACAGTTGAAAAATGCAGACTCAACGGCACGTTGATACAAAGGATTAACACAGAAATTGGTGATATAACTATCCAAATATTCAAGAAAACCTTTTTTGGACACAAAAGTTGGTGAATTTGGAGGAAATGACATGTAGGGAAGTTCACAAAATTGATTTGCTAAGTGAAGTTTCAATCTATCATAAGACCTTTTTCTCCATAAAGAAGCACAACAATCATCTTTTTCTAGAACTAAATTTGGAATATTTTTGAGGTTTAGACAAGCAGAAGTAGCTATACCAGCAGGACCAGCTCCAACTATGAGGACTACTGTTTCTTGCTTCATTATATTGAAACTTTTCTTTTTCTTGTTGTTTCTCTATTTATTTTCCTTTTCTGTTGGTCTTTATCGAATATCTTATCTTTATATAGAGAAGAAAATTCAACAAATAAAGTAAATAAATCATTATCCACAGTCTTATCATTATATATATGCAAATGATCTTCTATTTAATGCTGAAGTAATTATGTCTATATTAGAGATATTAATTGATCATATCTTTTTCATGGTTTGTTAATTTTTATCGTGACTGCCACATTAGCATAGTGTGAAAGATATATTCATAGAGTTTGAATTTTTCGTGGGTCAATTCAGGTATTAAACTACTTACTCTATATTATATTATTTAAAGTTAAATGGTGGTGGCAAATATTATATTTTTAAGATAAAAATAATTTGATGACATACGTGTTTGGTGTAAACGAAAATGTTTCTCGAAAAATGATTACTTAAAAAATATTTTAATTCTCGAAATTTTCAGTATTGGATCGGTGAGTGGAAATTAACTTTGAAAAATATTTATTAAGATTTCAACAATGTCAATAATTGGATAATGCTTCACATTGTATTGAAAATTTAATAAAACTATTTCTTAAGATTGATAATAGTATCTACACCCCTTCTTTTGGTTATTAAACAAATGCTGAAGTAATTATGTCCATATTGGAGTCATTAATTGAAGAAATCTCTTCATGTGTTGTTAATTTTTATGGTGACTGCCAGATTAGCATAGTGTGTAAGATATATCTATAGAGTTTGAATTTTTGGTGGGTCATTTTAGATATTAAATTACTTACTCTATACAGTATTATATTATTATTCAAACTTAAATGGTAGAAAGAAGTTTACTGTTGGCAAACACTATATTTTCAAGATCAAAAATAATTTGATGATTTGCGTGTTTGGTGTAAAGGAAAATATATTTTGAGATTCTCAGAATAATCGATGAGTGAAAATTAATTTTTGAAAAATATTTGTTGAGATTTGACTACAATGTTAACAATAGGATAATGCTTCACAGTGTATTGAAATTTTGATTAAACTTTTTCTTAAGATTGATAATAATATATATGCATTAGTTGGAAACAAACTTTTGAACCCTTTTTTTTGGTAATTGAACAAATTTTGAAATAATTATGTCTATATTAGAGTTATTAATTGATCATATCTCTTCATGTGTTAGTTTTATTGTGGTTGCCAGATTAGTATAGTGTGAAAGATATATCCATTGAGTTTGAATTTTTGGTGGGCCAATTTAGGTTTTAAATTACTTACTCTATATGTATATTATTCAAATTTAAATGGTAGAAAAAAATTTACTGGTGGCAATATTATATTTTCAAGATAAAGTATGCGTGTTCAGTGCAAAAAAAAAAAAAACGAACATTTTCTCAAAAAAAGATTATTTCAAAAATATCTTTTGATTTTTAGTATTTGATTGATGAGTGAAACTATTTTTTTAAAAATAGTACTTTATTAAGATACAACTATGTCAACAATTGGACAATGCTTCATGTTGTATTGAAAATTTGATGAGACTGTTAAAATTGACAATAATATTTACGCATTTGTTGGAACAAAAACTTTTGAACCTTTTTTTTTAATTAAATAAACTTTCTTAATCACCAAAGTAAATTATATTAACAAATCCACATCTAAATTTAACATATTCAGTTGTCTTTTATCACTCCACTATAATTTTTCTTATCTCCAAATAATTTAATAGTTTTGATACAATGAAGAATTGAAGTCTGCGTATGGAGTTGTACGTAGAGTTTGTGGGATTGTAATTAAGGGTTAAGTTGGTTAGAAGTCTGCATTGGTAAACTTTTGAAAGCAATACACTAACGTCCATTAAGTACTTTTTATATTTCCTTTAGTCTCACAGAATTAGGTATGTTATTTTATCAGTTAGTGTGTAGTGGAGGCATATATATTAGTGTACTTGTCCATTAATTACTGATTATGAATGAAAATCCCATTTCTCTTTTCGCTTAACTTTATCTTTTAGTTGTAATATTTATTCTTCTTTCGCTGGAACCGTAGCTGTCGCAACAGTGGTATCAAAGCAATTCCTCGGCTATGTGGATAATGGCTACTGAAATGAGTGAGGTCATGAGTATGTTGCACAAGATAGCAATGGAGGTGACCGAATTTACAGAGAAGCAGAACCAGCTCGAAGCAAGTCACGAGCAGTCTTGCCAGCATTACGAGCAAGCTATTAGCGAGATTGTAACGATCCGACCGGTTATTTTGAGCCCTAGTATATCATTCGGCAGTTTGAGGTCATGAGTAGATTCACTTCAGGTATTATGACTTGTACGCATGGTCGGAATTGAATTCGGGAAGTTCGGAGTTGATTTGGGAAGAAAATTCTTATTTCGGAAGCTTTAAGTTGGAAGAATTGAATAAGGTTGGATTTTTGAGTAAACGACCTCGGAATCGGGATTTGAAGGTTCCAACAGGTTCGTATTATGATTTTGGACTTGAACGTATATCCGGATCGGGTTTTGGATGACCCGGGAGTGTTTCGGCGCTTGTTGTGGAAGTTGGCATTTTGGAAGAATTTCGTAAATTTGGGTTGAAGTGTATTTCAATGCTATCGATGTCTGTTTGGGATTTTGAGTCTGGGAATAGCTCTGTATGGTGATACTGGTTTTTGGAGCGCGTCAGGAAGTGGATTTGGAGGTCCATATGTCATTTCGGAGTCATTTGGCGAAAGTTAGAAATTTAAAGGTATTTTAGAAATTTGATTTGGAGTAGACTTTTTGATATCGGGGTCGGATTCTGATTTCGAAAGTTGGAGTAGGTCCGTCATATTGAATGTGACTTGTGTGCAAAATTTGAGGTCAATCAGGTGTGATTTGATAGGTTTCGGCATCGAATATAGAAGTTTGAAGTTCTAAAGTTCATTAAGCTTGAATTGTGTTGTGATTCGTGATTTCGATGTTGTTTGATGTGATTTGAAGACTCGACTAAGTTCGTAATGTGTTTTGGAACGTGTTGGTATAATTGGTTGAGGTCCCGAGGGCCTTGGGTGGATTCTCGATGGTAAACGGATCGAGTTTGGACTTGGAGGAATGCTGGAGCTGCTGTCATCTGGTGTAATCACACCTACGAGGTTTTGGCCGCAGGTGCGGAGCTGCAAAAGCGGCCAGGAGGGTCGCAAAAGCGATGCTGGGAAGGAGCGCAGGTGCGAGGGCATGTCCGCACCTGCACAGGGGAGATCGCTGAAACGGAAGCGCGAAAAATGCTATTTTGACTGCAAATGCGGAGGCTGCTGGGTTGAGTTAGAGCCGCACCTGCAATGGATTTCTGTAGGTACGGAGCCATAGGAACGGCTATTGGACCGCAAGTACGAAGGTCGGGATGGACAGTATGCTTCTTTAAAACGAGGGTTTGGCTCATTTTTACTTCACTTCTTCCATGGGAGCCGATTTTAGAGCAATTTTGGAGTGCCATTTTTATCATCAAGCATGAGTTTAGATCATTGGACATCGGTTTGAGGTGTTAGAGTGGCGTTGGAGCCGATTATGGAACTTCGGAGCGAGGTAAGTTTCTTGTCTAATCATGTGAGGAGGAAATTATCCCTAGGTGTTGTAAATTGATGTGTGATACTTGTTGTGGAGGCTACGTACGCGCAGATGACGAGAGCCCGTACGTAGCTATATTCATGTTATTATCCGGTTAGGCTTAGGTTCACATCATGCTATAACTGTACTATTTGAGCAGTCTCTCGCCTATTAAATTTTCTCTGCTTTACATTACTACTTGAGACTAGACTTGATATTGTAGAGACTTCACGAGTTAATGATTAGTCACTGAATAATTGTACTCCTCTTACGAAATGATTCCGCGATATATATATNAGCCGTTCACCTCGGCAGGATTATGTACTTCATATTTTATGGGATCGGGCTATTCGCCTCGGCAGAATTTATGTACCACACTCTCATGGGAGCGGGCCGTTCGTCTCGACAGGTTAATAGAAGCATCTATGGTTCATGTCGTTCGACCCTCGACAGTGCATAATTTAATTATTTATGTTAGATCGGGCCGTATTCCTCGACATTTCTATAAAAATATCCTCATGAAAATCGTGCGTAATATTTGGCAAGAAGCTAGTGTATCTGTGAGTTTTCCTGATTTGAATTATGACAACCTATCTGATGAGATCCACTATATCTATATATATGCTCCGGTTAAGGAGGGAATTGGTAATGGAGAGCTTGAGTTTATTGCAAACAGGAGGATTGTACCACGTATTTATACTCGTTTATTTCGTTTATTTGTCTTGCCTCATATCTGCTTATCATTTCTGTACCTGATATTATCGGACCACTAGTAAGTATCGATGTCGACCTCTCGTCACTACTCCTCCGGGGTTAGGCTAGATATTTACTGGGTACACATTGATTTACGTATTCATACTACACGTGCTGTATATTTTTGTGCAGGTACATATATGTCTAGTGGCCTTAGGGGCGCAGAGGTGTAGTTATTTATAGGACCTTAGGTGAGATGCATTCCATGTTACGATCCGCAACAAGTAGAGTCTCCTTCAGAGTTATTTATACTTTTCTGTCTAATTTATATTCAGGACAGATGCTGTATTTTATTTTACTTTCTAGTGATGCTCATACACTTGTGACATCGGATTTTGGGGGTATTTATGAGGTGTTCAATATTGTGGTTGTAAGAAAATATCATCATTTACTCTGTAAATTTTATCACTTATCATTTAACTGAAGGAAATTATGATTTCAAAATACTAAAAAGAGTAATTAAGTTAATAAATTCTTGTTGGCTTGCTTGACAGCGGTTTTAGGCGCCATCACGACCTTTAATGGATTTTAGATCGTGACACAGATAAGGGAAGTACTCAATGGGGTAATTCACATAGGGAAGTGACCTGAACGAGATAAAGAATTGAGCTACGATGGTGAAAAATTGTATTCCCCTAACGACAAGCCTTTCGGCCTTGGTGAGCTAGTTACACTTATTAC